TACAGAGGGAACGCTATCAACAGTGCACGTGTCTATCTACACAACATCCAGAGGGGACGCTATCAACAGTACACGTGTCTATCTACACAACATACAGAGGGGACGCTATCAACAGTACACCTGTCTATCTACACAACATACAGAGGGGACGCTATCAACAGTACACGTGTCTATCTACACAACATCCAGAGGGGACACTATCAACAGTACACGTGTCTATCTACACAACATCCAGAGGGGACACTATCAACAGTACACGTGTCTATCTACACAACATACAGAGGGGACGCTATCAACAGTACACGTGTCTATCTACACAACATACAGAGGGGACACTATCAACAGTACACGTGTCTATCTACACAACATCCAGAGGGGACGCTATCAACAGTACACCTGTCTATTTACACAACATACAGAGGGGACGCTATCAACAGTACACGTGTCTATCTACACAACATACAGAGGGGACGCTATCAACAGTACACGTGTCTATCTACACAACATCCAGAGGGGACGCTATCAACAGTACACGTGTCTATCTACACAACATCCAGAGGGGACGCTATCAACAGGACACGTGTCTATCTATACACCATCCAGAGGGGACGCTATGAACAGTACACGTGTCTATCTAGACAACATCCAAAGGGAACGCTATGAACAGTACACGTGTCTATCTACACAACATCCAGAGGGGACGCTATGAACAGTACGAGTATCTATGGTTTTGATTAGCATTGTCAATATTGTGGTTATGTGCACGCTCATCGTAGCGCTATCGGTACAGGATGAATGCGATCTGACCTGCGGTATTTGCCATTCCTTATTAAGGTAGATCATATTGCTGAAAGGACAATTTCGAATTCGAAATGTAAATTAAAGGTTTTCTGCTTGCGCGTTGAACACGACGTCACTTAATGTAAATGTACCTTATACATGTACTTGGCGTATTAAACAGTATTTCGTATATTGTATTTATGACTGTTGGCATGGAAATCCATTTGGCAGCTTGGAACTCCACTATCTCATAATGAGACAGTGGAAATATACGCGAGGCGCAGTCACACTCTCTAAATGAGACTATGCTGAAAATCGACACTACCTTTACTTAATATGACGAGGCTTTCGGAGTTAGGAATGCAATAACACCGTGTTACTTTACACCAGCTTTCCCCGATCTCGTCAGTCAGAAATGTAACTCGAGACACAACAGGATGCCTCATCTATCTGTGTGTAGGTGCGGCAGTGACAATGTGTGACAGCACCTTCAGGCTGTGTAGCGGTGACAAGGAACTAGTCTACCCCGGTACTGCACACCCATACATATAGGTCATCACAGCAACATGGCGCAGAAGTGGCCACATGCGTTGATTACGGATTCACGACACTCGGAACACTCACTCAGGTTACTTTGAAGCAAAACGAATTGGCCAATTATGTATGGAACTTGATTTTAACGTATTAACTTTGATGTTTTCATTCTATTTATGAGCGGAAGGGTAACGCAGGGTCTCAGAAACACGGACAATAAACACCATGACAGTTTGGCTGTGAACTTGGTTCCGCCGTTAAGAATTTTCAGTAGAATGTGCCGAATGTTATATTCCTCCCATACAGCTTGTTTGTTCCTCGTCCTGGCATGTGGTACCACTTTAGCCGCCGGCGTACTTGTGCCTGCGTGCCTGCCTGCCTGCTTGTGTGTGTGTGTGTGCCTTATGGAAGACAAGTGCCTGGCTTCAATATATTCATTTGAGAATATCGCCTTCCTATGCCCGTAGCAGTCTTAACAAAATATGTAAGGGAAAACTGGATCACAATTCAAACTTTGCATAAGAAAAACTTTTCTTATTATCGACGAAACTTTGTACAGCTTAAAACTATAACATTTTATTCCCGTATACATGCTATGGCATTAAATCTTTCCTCTATTTTTGTTGGTCTTTGGTAAAACTGGGACTGATGACTAGTTTTAGTTACGAAGTAACGTGAAGATGACTCACTGATAACTCACAGTAAATTGTACACAATTTACATACTACGGGCGCATAGCAAATGTAACAATCAAAACATTGTTGACTGATAGCACATGTAATATTTTAACACTGTCGACTGAGAGCACATGTGATACTAGTATTTAAACAATGTTGACTGATAGCACATGTAACATTTAAACATTGTTGACAGATTTCATATGTACCATTTAAACATTGTTGGCTGATAGCACATGTAATATTTAAACATTGTTGACAGATAGCACATGTAACGTTTAAACATTGTTGACAGATAGCACATATAACATTTAAACATTGTTGGCTGTTAGCACATGTAACATTTAAACATTGTTGACTAATAGCATATGTAATACTTAAACATTGTTGACTGTTAGCACATGTAACATTTGAACATCGTTGACAGATAGCACATTTAACGTTAAAACATTGTTGACAGATTGCACATATAACGTTAAAACATTGTTGACAGATAGCACATGTAACGTTTAAACATTGTTGACAGATAGCACATGTAACGTTTAAACATTGTTGACAGATAGCACATATAACGTTAAAACATTGTTGACAGATAGCACATATAACGTTAAAACATTGTTGACAGATAGCACATGTAACGTTTAAACATTGTTGACTAATAGCATATGTAATACTTAAACATTGTTGACTGTTAGCACATGTAACATTTGAACATTGTTGACAGATAGCACATGTAACGTTAAAACATTGTTGACAGATAGCACATGTAACGTTAAAACATTGTTGACAGATAGCACATGTAACGTTAAAACATTGTTGACAGATAGCACATGTAACATTTAAACATTGTTGACTAATAGCATATGTAATACTTAAACATTGTTGACTGTTAGCACATGTAACATTTGAACATTGTTGACATAGAAGCACATGTAACGTTAAAACATTGTTGACAGATAGCACATGTAACGTTTAAACTTTGTTGACAGATAGCACATGTAACGTTAAAACATTGTTGACAGATAGCACATATAACATTTAAACATTGTTGACAGATAGCACATGTAACGTTAAAACATTGTTGGCTGATAGCACATGTAACGTTTAAACATTGTTGACAGATAGCACATGTAACATTTAAACATTGTTGACAGTTAGCACGCGTAATATTTAAACGCTGTCGACTGAGAGTAAAGCTAACATCTACAAATCTTGTACTGATAGCAACAACACAACATGTACGGACACCCGATGGTGCATTTTATACAATGTTTGCTTATATTTAAAGATAACATTTGAATACAGTTTAGGGCGAAGGAGAACTCTTCTGATCATATCATCAACCTGACATCGAGACATCGACATTGACTGAACAAACTGGCAATAGACGGACACTGTACGAGAATACGGGAACATTGAACATACTGGCAATAGACGGAAACTGTACGAGAATATGGGAACAATGAACATACTGTCAATAGACGGACACTGTACGAGAATATGGGGAACACTGAAAATACTGTCAATAGACGGACTCTGTACGAGAATATGGGAGCATTGAACACACTGGCAATAGACGGACACTGTACGAGAATATGGGGAACACTGAAAATACTGTCAATTGACGGACACTGTACGAGAATATGGGAGCATTGAACACACTGGCAATAGACGGACACTGTACCAGAATGTAGGAACACTGAACGCCCTGGCAATAGACTAAGACCCTTTAATGTGTATGGAAATATTGATGTCGCGTCAACAAGCGTACACAGTGTAGATGTACATGTAGCTGTTGGTGTACTGACAAGCTCAGAGCCAATCATTGATCACCTAAACACGGGATAGACACATATAAGTAAACCCTGGAGCATTTATCGACCGCCCTGACAAACCAACAGTCCTCCCACTAATCCGTGAAGCACAACTCTCGTGTGATAGGCTGTCAATCGACACCTATCAGATATATCAGCACGAGGTACTGGCAGTAAAGCAGCTATACAGAAAGCGCTATGAACATATATCGTAGTGGCCTGTCACGACAGCAGCATCTAACATAACACAGTAACGTGACTATCACTCTTTTGTTGAGAGGGCAACACGCAGGGAGAAATACGGTACTGAGACCATGTAAGGAATCAATGAGTTCGGCTAGTGATGTCGGATGAAAGGGTTGAAGCGTTTCTACTTTATTAAAACCCACACGCTTCACGTGAAGCAGCAGACGACAATTGTTTCAGTGAGTGAGTTTGACCTGACGCAGCTTTAGAAGTGTTGTAGTCGTGTCAGGTATTGTAGGTTTGTTTGTCAAACAATCCCATCTACACCGTGCTGAGAGGGCTCACTTGGCGTCACTTTGTAACCATGGTAACATGAAGCCATCGAGAGACGTCTTTTCGATGTCATGAACTAAGGTTGGGAGTCACAGCTGTTAAAACTGAATAATTCTAATGGTAGTTTACTGCGAAAACTGTGCCAATCCCTGTGCGCTGTGGATATGTTAATGCATGTTAATCCCCAGGCATCATCCTTCAAGTTCCATACTCACTACAATTTGTAACAGTTGTCCTCGCTTTCTAGTCTAGCCAGTCTTATTGTAGTATTAATGAAATATATTGGCCTGTTTACTAAGCACGACATACCAGTCTATTCACTGAACGGCTATGCGCTGCATGTCTTACTCAGTATACCTACAGTAGATTCTCCACAGAGTGAGTGAGTGAATGAATTGGGTTTTACGCCGCTTTTAGCAATATTCCAGCAATATCACGGCGGGGGACACCAGAAATGGGCTTCACACATTGTACCCATATGGGGAATCGAACCCGGGTCTTCAGAGTGACGAGCCAACGCTTTAACCACTAGGCTACCCCACCGCCCCTTCTCCACAGAGGCGATTATGTAAGAAGAATGTCTTTTTGATCGCATAGTAAACATCATATGAATAGGTCTGTTGCTTCGTTTATGACATCACACATGACCTCACACAGTTACAGAGATACTACCTACCCGGTCGGCCTTGAGTCGGGGACCAGTCTGTTGAGGGGTATGATGTCGCTAGCGTAGACGTTCACCCGGTATTTCTTCATGGCCCACTCGGCCCGGCGCTTCTCCTCGGGTGCCAGGACCACGCCCCTTCCCAGCTCGCCCGCAAGACGAAGGTCATTCGTGCCATATTTTGTGATTAAAGTGTTGTCGTCCTTCGACTTTCCATGGTTGATGTACGCCCTTTTGAGACTGTCTGTCCGCTGTGTCGTGGTGCTGACAAGATGGTATATCTTCCCCACAACCAGCACCACGACCACAGTCCCCAACAGCAAACCGTATCGGAAGTGGATACGCATTATCTATTGCTAGAGGTCCACGTGTTTTCATCGCAAACGCCAAGGCTCTGTCTCTATGTTCCTCCCCCGCCGCTTGTTATAAATACTTATAGTTGTTCAAACACAAGTATATGAAGACTGCCACCGATATCATTCGACACTTGATCCAACTGTTGAACGATTCCCATGTGTCTCACCTGTTACAACCAGCAAATATAAAGTGGTTCCAGCAGGTTTCTCCATAAACTGTGAATGTGTCAGCAACAAATCCAATATTTATACACGCAAAGTAATTTAACCGACGTGATTAAACCTTTTGTCAAATTCTGCCCTGACTGCAGACATGAAAAGTGAGGAGGGTGTATCAAGTCCGATGTACCTCCCCTGTGTGGGCAGTCATCCACCTATATAAGCTCATGTATTGATTCCAACACGTGCACGGTCTGCTCAGCCATACTACACACACTTCCAGTAAATTAAATTAGAATTCAGCATCATGTGAAGCTCCACACCTTTCCCGTCGACTCCGACGACGACTCTGTATCACGTTGTCATGCAGCATGATGCCGTTGCACGCATCACTGCCGTGAGTACTCTCTCCCCAACACACCTGTGAAACATCTCGCGGCACTTGCACCTTCTCTCATCCTTCTACAAATCCAGGTATTACAAAGGCGGTCGGTAACCCACAGTGATCAGTGAGACAAGGGGCAAGAGAGACCAGGGCAGAGATGGATCTCTACGGACCTCCACAACCTACCCGAGTTTCAGAAAATCTAATGCGGAAGTCCCCGTTTACCTTGGCTACGGGCAGCTCACTAGGACTTAGCCGTCTGTGTACACTTCACTTTAAACAGGGTTCGTGTGGTTTTAAAGCACTCGGAACACGTACACACCGAGCAGCGTAGAGGGGATAGCGACAAATGTAGTTACGACAAACTGACAGAATACTTTGAGAACAGTGCCTACAACACGAGTCTGTCAGTGTCAACAGCCCAAGGCGAACTGCAGCGTCACGACACAGGTAGCCTCGCCGCGAGAAACAAGGACAGGCACCACACGCACACCGATTGTTCCTACGCCTCAATATAACGCTGATCAAACTTCACACCATACCGGAAGCTGCCCTGGCTACAAAGCGGCACGTTGAGAGGCGGTACTCCAATGTTCACTATTCTCTTTACACGCAGTCGTTCCGCTCCACCAGTCTTCACTGTCGGTATGCCGTGTGCTTAATCTCTCGCATCCAGGTTATGAACAGAAGATAATCGCCAGGTGATTATAGACCCACTCACCAAATCGAGCTCCGGACTCTCCACGGTAGCCTATATTCCTATAAGCCGATGAGTGAGCTGAATGGACTACTAATTCTATCGAAGCGTTACGTCACCAACCTTGCTGTTGTATATTGCACAAACAAGCTGACACCGACCAAACCACTGACAACAAACACCGCCTGTCAAGCTGTCTTTGTGAAAGAAGAGAGTGCGACCCTCTTGCAATCGGGGCCTGAAATCACCTGTAGCGTCCTCTAACTAGACAAACATGAGTGACATTGATCCCTTATTAATAGATGATTGGTGACAGCGTGACCGTCTCCGGTTGCGGACTTAATTCCACTAAGTTCTCATCGACATCGAGGTCTCACGATGTACATATCCGAGAGGAATGGTGAAGTCGGTTGTCGCTCAGGTCACCGTCTCGCCACCACCTACCCGCCAGGTATTATCTGCAAAGATACACAAATGCTCATGTATCCGTTATCAGGCTGGCTACAAAAGTGACCTGAGCACTCTATAGCGGCTTATCGTAGTTCGCCTATCATAGTTTGACACAAAACCCGCCTATCTGACTACAATGCGTTCGTTGGATTGCTTTTCTCCAACGAGGGACACGGTAGGCCCAAGAAGTACAGTTCACTATAGAGGTGCGCCCCTTGGGACTGCCAGAAAACTGTTATCACACACATTACACGAGGCTCTTATTTCCAACATCAAACTGACATGCTCATTTGTCACTATAGTATGCCCTATGCCCCTGTAGTGTGCCGTATCACCATGAATCTGAACCATGCCCCATGCAATATGTCGCATCACAATGAATCTGCGCCATGCCCAGGTTAAAGTATGCCCTACCACCATGATTTTGAACCATGCCCAGGTTAAAGTATGCCCTACCACCATGATTTTGAACCATGCCCAGGTTAAAGTATGCCGTATCACCATGAATCTGACCATGCCCCTATAGTCTGCCGTATCACCATGAATCTGAACCATGCCCCTGTAGTACGCCCTATCACATTGAATCTGAACCATGCCCCTATAGTCTGCCGTATCACCAAGAATCTGAACCACGCCCCTGTATTACGCCCTATCACCATGAATCTGAACCATGCCCATGTAGTCTGCCGTATCACAATGAATCTGAACCACGCCCCTGTAGTACGCCCTATCACATTGAATCTGAACCATGCCCCTGTAGTACGCCGTATCACCATGGATCTGAACCATGCCCCTGTAGTCTGCCGTATCACCATGAATCTGAACCATGCCCCTGTAGTATGCCCTATCACCATGAATCTGAACCATGTCCCTTTACTATGTCGTATCACCATGAACCTGAACCATGTCCCTATAGTCTGCCGTATCACCATGAATCTGAACCATGCCCAGGTTAAAGAATGCCCTATCACTTTGAATCCGAACCATGCCCCTGTAGTACGCCCTATCACCATGCGTCTGAACCATGTCCCTTTACTATGTCGTATCACCATGAACCTGAACCATGTCCCTATAGTCTGCCGTATCACCATGAATCTGAACCATGCCCAGGTTAAAGAATGCCCTATCACTTTGTATCCGAACCATGCCCCTGTAGTACGCCCTATCACCATGCGTCTGAACCATGCCCCTGTAGTATGCCCTATCACCATGCGTCTGAACCATGCGCCATGTAGTATGCCCTATCACCATATGGCTGAACCATGCCCCTGTAGTATGCCCTATCACAATGAATCTGAACCAGGACTATGTAGCTTGCCCTTACGACTTGCCCTTTTTATCCTTGCAACATGCCTTTACAGGATACCTCTATAAGATCGCTCCTGCAACATACCCTAACACTATGTCCCCGAACAAAGCCCATGTACCATGCCACTGCACTATGCCATTCTGATCCTGCACCAAGGGCTTGCACTCTTCACCTGTTAGTGTACCATTCACCTGTTTCGTGCCCTAAAAGCTCTCATTGGGATGTCTCCAAGGTCGGCTCATTTGGTCATGGAAGTCGACATGAACCTCGATTGGTCAGAGTACATGACATCAGCCCAACGTCGATTATCATAGTGCTGACTATTCTCTACACCATTTAAATGACCCGAAATAAGTTGCCGGACGACCCGTGGACATAGTGAAAGCACGGGCCACATGTGCATTACATCATATTGATGATTTATCAATAGTATATCATCTGAGGGAAGTACACCATATTGATGATTTATCAAAGTATTTCATCTGAGGGCAGTACTCAATATTGATGATTTATCAAAAGTAGTTCATCTGAGGGCAGTACTCCATATTGATGATTTATCAAAAGTAGTTCATCTGAGGGAAGTACACCATATTGATGATTTATCAATAGAAGTTCATCTGAGGGCAGTACACCATATTGATGATTTATCAAAAGTATTTCATCTGAGGGCAGTACACAAGTTTAATGATTTATCAATAGTACATCGCCGAGGGCAGTACTCCATATTAATGATTCATCAAAAGTAGTTCATCTGAGGGCAGTACATCATATTGATGATTTATCAATAGAAGTTCATCTGAGGGTAGTACTCCATATTGATGATTTATCAAAAGTATTTCATCTGAGGGCAGTACACCATAATGATGATTTATCAATAGTATATCATCTGAGAGCGGTACTCAATATTGATGATTTATCAAAAGTAGTTCATCTGAGGGCAGTACTCCATATTGATGATTTATCAGAAGTATTTCATCTGAGGGCAGTACTCAATTTTAATGATTTATCAATAGTGCATCGCCGAGGGCAGTACTCCATATTAATGATTCATCAAAAGTAGTTCATCTGTGGGCAGTACATCATATTGATGATTTATCAATAGAAGTTCATCTGAGGGCAGTACTCCATATTGATGATTTATCAATAGTACATCATCTGAGGGCAGTACTCAATATTGATGATTTATCAGAAGTATTTCATCTGAGGGCAGTACATCATATTGATGATTTATCAATTGTACATCACCGAGGGCAGTACTCCATATTAATGATTCATCAGAAGTAGTTCATCTGTGGGCAGTACATCATATTGATGATTTATCAATAGAAGTTCATCTGAGGGCAGTACTCCATATTGATGATTTATCAAAAGTATTTCATCTGAGGGTAGTACACTATATTGATGATTTATCAAAAGTATTTCATCTGAGGGCAGTACACTATATTGATGATTTATCAAAAGTATTTCATCTCAGGGCAGTACTCCATATTGATGATTTATCAATAGTATATCATCTGAGGGCAGTACACTATATTGATGATTTATCAAAAGTATTTCATCTCAGGGCAGTACACCATATTGATGATTTATCAATAGTATATCATCTGATGGCACTACTCAATATTGATGATTTATCAATAGTACATGATCTGAAGGCAGTACTCCATATTGATGATTTATCAAAAGTATTTCATCTGACGGCAGTATTCCATATTGATGATTTATCAATAGTGCGTGATCTAAGAGCAGTACTCCATATTGATGATTTATCAATAGTGCGTGATCTAAGAGCAGTACTCCATATTGATGATTTATCAATAGTGCGTGATCTAAGGGCAATACTCCATATTGATGATTTATCAATAGTACGTGATCTAAGGGCAGTACTCCATATTACTAATTTATCATTAGTATATGACCCAACAGCTGTCCTCTCTACCCTTTCCTAACCACATCCGCCATCACTCATACCCAGCCCCACCCCGACTCCAACCGCTATCCCCCTACTCCTTCAAAGCCACATCACCATCGTCATCCAGACCTCCCCTTCCCTTCTCCATCCCCCTACTGCCCGCCCCATACCCCAGTCGCCTGCCTGTCTGCCTGTCTGAGCGTCTGGCCCTCAGGACATCTACTCACCCTGCACTTATCAATCTGAGATATAGACGAGATGCGCCCTATATCCTTGTAAAACGATGTTGCCGATAAGGTTTCTGTATCCAGCACCTCCTAATCTATTGATAGAAGCTGAACATACTCGTCAATTAATCTATGTCTGCGACATTGATTTCTTGCGAGGCAATCCCGGGCGGCAATGCCGTGGCTGTACTAGATTAGGGGTGTCCTGTGTCCGCAGCACATCTGTGCCCGAGACATTGCGTCACGACGTGCGTCATCCTATCCCACGCTGGCATAATGTTGAAACATCGTATTTATCAGCTCTAATCGAATCAAAGATTCAACAGATTATTCTCTTCAAAGTGGCCGTACGTTCGATTGAATAAATGGACTTCCTAGCGGATAAAGGACCAGTAGTCAAAGAAAAATTTACATATTCAGACCTTTACACTCGTTGTGTACATGTAAATAAGTCGGAGAATAATCTACATATTCAGAACTTTACACCCGTTGTGTACGTATAAACAAGAATGAGGAATTTTTTATGGATATACAACGTCTTTATTCTGTATAGGCGACATTTCGACAGAAGTTTTATGTCTTCGACATAGGAGTCGGGGTAGAGATGGGTATGGCTGATGGTGGATGTGGTTAGGAGAGGGTTGGGGTTGGAGTGGTGGATTCGATGACGATAGGATCGGAGGATGAGGATGGGGCTAGAAGCAGGGATTGGGGATAGGTGATGGGAGTCGGGTCAGAGGTACTGACGGAGATATAAGCGGGTGATGGGAATGGGCTAGGATTAAGTGGTAAGGAAAGGACAAGGTTGGGCAAAGGATATGCGGCTTGTGTTTTATCGAAAAAGGAAACTTTTCCAAAAAACATATTGAAAGATATAATTATGCTTTACAGGTTCAAGTTTCTTATCCACCACATATATTGAAAACAATAATTGCGGTTCTTTGTATTTGGCGCGAGGATGAAGACTCAGAACTCTAGTGCCAGATATTGTCTTCCCGAAAAATAAATGACCACACGCCACGAACATGGGACAACAAAGGTTTCGAGGTCGAGGTCGTAAGGCACCACTACCGACATGAAGAAATATGACAACATGACACGTGACCAGAGGCGACTACCCCAGTTTTCATGAGACCACTGACGTTTGCTGGCAATGGCTTGATGAAAGTAAGCATCGATCTGATTCCCGGCATCAGTTTGGTTTGGTGGAGCCTGTACTCTAATGAACCAACCCTGAACTCTTGTGGTTGACCCGGGACGCTCTCAATAGGGTCGACCTACATCCTTTTTTTGTTTACTGGTATCTGTTTCATCATCTGTTAATCACAGACTGTGAAACATTGAACACAGTGGCCAGCATTTCATTCATAAACACTGGATAGGCAGAAATAATGGTCCGCATAGATTTATCGACTTTGCCTGACCTTCATATTCAGGAATAAAACCACGCACGGCTGTGGCGCTCCTGCTCACTGCACGTCAAAAAACCTACATCCTGCGGTTTGCTGCCGTACACGCTCTTTCACGGGTTGATTGTTGTCAGCATTCAAGCCTGCTTTAAAACTTGGTTATTTAAAGGATATATGCGACAAAACATGTTTAAAACTTGGTTATTTAAAGGATATATGCGACAAAACATGTTTAAAACTTGGTTATTTAAAGGATATATGCGACAAAACATGTTTAAAACTTGGTTATTTAAAGGATATATGCGACCAAACATGTTTGAAACAAAATATACACAGACAATATCATCTCAATGTTACGTCAGATTTGATACAGTGACAGTGTTATTAGGGCCATACCATCTCAGTGTTAAGTCAAATTTTATACAATGACAGTGTTATTAGGGCCATACCATCTCAGTGTTTAGTCAGATTTGATACAGTGACAGTGTTATTAGGGCCATTCCATCTCAATGTTAAGTCAGATTTGATACAATGACAGTGTTATTAGGGCCATACCATCTCAATGTTAAGTCAGATTTGATACAGTGACAGTGTTATTAGGGCCATTCCATCTCAATGTTAAGTCAGATTTGATACAATGAGAGTGTTATTAGGGCCATACCATCTCAATGTTAAGTCAGATTTGATACAGTCACAGTGTTATTAGGGCCATTCCATCTCAATGTTAAGTCAGATTTGATACAATGAGAGTGTTATTAGGGCCATACCATCTCAATGTTAAGTCAGATTTGATACAGTCACAGTGTTATTAGGGCCATTCCATCTCAATGTTAAGTCAGATTTGATACAATGACAGTGTTATTAGGGCCATACCATCTCAGTGTTTAGTCAAATTTTATACAATGACAGTGTTATTAGGGCCATACCATCTCAATGTTAAGTCAGATTTGATACAGTGACAGTGTTATTAGGGCCATACCATCTCAATGTTAAGTCAGATTTGATACAGTCACAGTGTTATTAGGGCCATTCCATCTCAGTGTTTAGTCAGATTTGATACAGTGACAGTGTTATTAGGGCCATACCATCTCAATGTTAAGTCAGATTTGATACAGTGACAGTGTTATTAGGGCCATACCATCTCAATGTTAAGTCAGATTTGATACAGTGACAGTGTTATTAGGGCCATTCCATCTCAATGTTAAGTCAGATTTGATACAATGACAGTGTTATTAGGGCCATACCATCTCAATGTTAAGTCAGATTTGATACAGTGACAGTGTTATTAGGGCCATACCATCTCAATGTTAAGTCAGATTTGATACAGTGACAGTGTTATTAGGGCCATACCATCTCAATGTTAAGTCAGATTTGATACAGTGATAGTACTTTTAGGGTGATATCATCTCAATGTTACTTCAGATTTGATACAGTATCTGTGATACAAAGGCGGTGTAAGTTCAGTATTTTGTCAGATCTCATGCAGTGACAGTGTTAAAGAAAGCGATGTAATTTCAGTCTCACGCGGTGACAGTGTTAGAGACAGCGATGTAATCTTAGTGCCACACGGTGACAGTGTTATGGACAGCGATGTAATCTTAGTGCCACGCAGTAAGACAGCGATGTAATTTCAGTGCTACACGGTGACAGTGTTAAATACAGCGATGTAATCTTAGTGCCACACGGCGACAGTGCTATCACGTACTTGTCCGCCATGACTGTCGTGTCGGGTGTACTTCAACCGTGCCTGTTAACGTGCAGTGGAGTTTGTGTTTCAACTGACTGATTACAGCAATGTAATCTCAGTGCCATGCAGTGAACGTGTTAAAAACAGCAATGTAATCTCAGTGAAATGCAGTGAACGTGTTAAAGACAGCGATGTAATCTCAGTGTCATTCAGTGAACGTGTTAAAAACAGCGATGCAATCTCAGTGCCATGCAGTGAAAGTGTTAAAGACAGCAATGTAATCTCATTCCAATGCGGTGACAGTGTTAAAGACAGCAATGTAATCTCAGTGCCATTCGGTGACAGTGTTATGGACACCAATGTAATCTCAGTGCCATGCAGTGAAAGTGTTAAAGACAGCGATGTAATCTTAGTGCCACGTGGTGACAATGTTAAAAACAGGGATGTAATCTCAGTGCCACACGGCGACAGTGCTATCACGTACTTGTCCGCCGTGACTGTCGTGTCGGGTGTACGTCAACCGTGCCTGTTAACGTGCAGAGGAGTTTGTGTTTCAACTGACTGATTACAGCAATGTAATCTCAGTGCCATGCAGTGAAAGTGTTAAAAACAGCGATGTAATCTCAGTGCCATGCAGTGAACGTGTTAAAAACAGCGATGTAATCTCAGTGCCACGTGGTGACAATGTTAAAGACAGCAATGTAATCTCAGTGCCATGCAGTGAAAGTGTTAAAAACAGCGATGTAATCTCAGTGCCACGTGGTGACAATGTTAAAGACAGCAATGTAATCTCAGTGCCATGCAGTGAACGTGTTAAAGACAGCGATGTAATCTTAGTGCCACGTGGTGACAATGTTAAAAACAGTGATGTAATCTCAGTGACACGCAGTGATCGTGTTAAAGACAGCAATGTAATCTCAGTGCCATGCAGTGAACGTGTTAAAGACAGCGATGTAATATCAGTGCCATGCAGTGAACGTGTTAAAGACAGCGATGTAATCTCAGTGCCATGCAGTGAGCGTGTTAAAGAAAGCGATGTAATCTCAGTGCCACGTGGTGACAATGTTAAAGACAGGGATGTAATCTCAGTGCCATGCGGTGACAGTGTTATGGACAGCGATGTAATCTCAGTGCCACGTGGTGACAATGTTAAAGACAGGGATGGAATCTCAGTGCCATGCGGTGACAGTGTTATGGACAGCGATGTAATCCCAGTGCCACGCAGTAAGACAGCGATGTAATCTCAGTGCCACGCGGCGACAGTGCTATCACGTACTTGTCCGTCATGACTGTCGTGTCGGGTGTACTTCAACCGTGCCTGTTAACGTGCAGTGGAGTTTGTGTTTCAACTGACTGTTTTCTGAATTTAACACATCATCGTACCCCGTTCAACAGCAACTAGACAAAAACCCGCACATGAATATACTACACCATAACAAGCCTGGGCAGGTATTGAGTGATGCCTGACATTCGCACAGTAGGACACGTTGAAGAACACCTACCTCGCACTCAGGGCGCCGTGTTACCACCCGAGGCCACACGAACATGTCTGTGTCTTGCAGAACGTCTTCAGATCAATACAGTAGCCATGGAAATATGTCGAGCGGTGTGTGGAGCTCTCTCCTAGTCCTGGCTCTCTCCGTCCCTCTCCGCGTACCCGTCCTGTATTGATTCAATCATACATCTTCGGGGCAACTCCTGTTGTAAACGGCGCGTGTTTCTTCCCTCGCGTCTCGACACTCGGCTGAACTCCCGTGATCATCTAAGGATACTCGAATGCCATGTTTTCTTTATGAGTCTGATTGACAATGCAAAAGTTGGTGAACGAGCTTGGACAACCTTGAAAGACATCCAATTAGTCAGGAACTTCAACTATGCATTGATCGATCCCCCGTTACGCAGCACTACACAACCATTGGTACCACATGGCACAACATCATACCCATCACGGTTCCACATTGTACCACATAACACATCATACTATCACGGTTCAACATTGTACCACATAACGCAACAATATACTATCACGGTTCAACATTGTACCACATAACACAACAATATACTATCACGGTTCAACAGTGTACCACATAACACAACAATATACTATCACGGTCCAACACTGTACATCATAACGCAACAACTTACTATCACTGTTCAACATGGTACCACATAACACAACAATTTACTATCACGGTTCAACATTGTACCACATAACACAACATTATACTATCACGGTCCAACACTGTACATCATAACGCAACAACTTACTATCACTGTTCAACATTGTACATCATAACACATAACACAACAATTTACTATCACGGTTCAACATTGTGTACCACATAACACAACAATATACTATCACGGTTCAACATTGTACCACATAACACAACAACATACCATCACTGTTCAACAGTGTACCACATAACACAACAATATACTATCACGGTTCAACAGTGTACCACATAACACAACAATATACTATCACGGTTCAACATTGTACCACATAACACAACATCATACTATCACTGTTCAACAGTGTACCACATAACACAACAATATACTATCACGGTCCAACACTGTACATCATAACGCAACAACTTACTATCACTGTTCAACATGGTACCACATAACACAACAATTTACTATCACGGTTCAACATTGTACCACATAACACAACATTATACTATCACGGTCCAACACTGTACATCATAACGCAACAACTTACTATCACTGTTCAACATGGTACCACATAACACAACAATTTACTATCACGGTTCAACAGTGTACCACATAACACAACAATATACTATCACGGTTCAACATTGTACCACATAACACAACAACATACCATCACTGTTCAACAGTGTACCACATAACACAACAATATACTATCACGGTTCAACAGTGTACCACATAACACAACAATATACTATCACGGTTCAACAGTGTACCACATAACACAACAATATACTATCACGGTTCAACAGTGTACCACATAACACAACAATATACTATCACGGTTCAACATGGTACATCATAACACAACAATATACTATCACGGTTCAACACTGTACATCATAAAGCAACAATATACTATCACAGTAGTATTACAACTTTATTCTTGCATGGTCAAACGGTGTACAACATGACACATCATACATTACATTCCACCTTGATGAAACACTGTACAACACACCATGGTGCCAATCAAGTATGTTCACGGTGTTTAGCTGGGTTTGGACATATTTGACTGTCTGCTAGTACATGCCACACAATATCGACCCATGAACAACCTAAACATGTTTGCACAATATCTTTCACCCACACTGAATATTACCAAGCTCCTTGGGACCACTACCTTGACATCTACGTACTTTATATTGTCGCAGTGGATTGATGAGATGTTTATGACGAATGCGTTTAGTGAAGTAAATCTAATCTTCGCTGAAGTAACATTGTATCCAGGACAGTGGTAGGAACAGATGTGATTGAACATCGCATTAATCTACAGCTTCTCCTGTTCATGTCGTCATGCTTCCAGGCCAGATGTGTGGCATAAAGCGCATCAGTCCCCTCATAAAGCTGTATGGAAACACTGCCGTGGACAACACATGTACACGTCAATGCTTTCCGGACGGATGAACCATAACCTCGATTTACTTTGCTGTCACATGGGCACTGGGAACATCCACACAACTGGGGACACATGGCATCAAATGTTAACTTGTGGAGAGATCGTCACTGCCGTAGGTATGAGCCAAAATATATGAATGTATTAATCTGCATACGTTGTGTAAAATAAAGCTGAATGGGTTGCATTGGGAGCTACTGTTACGAGTGAAGCTAAATTAACAAACTATTGCAGACTTTTCACTGACCTCATTGTTTCAACTTCTCTGATTTGGGACAATCGGCTCATGTATCTATCCTCTTGTCAACCTAAGATAACGGTTCTGAGAACTGGTATTAATCTTCTTCATTACGATGCTTGACGAAGGGCTGTCTTTTTAAACAAAGCAAACTGTGGTATGTGTATCTTTAGAATGACGAGATTCATCCATTGGTCTTTTGAGTGATGGTGTGAGTGAGCGATTCAATGTCGATTCATTTGGTCAAATCTGGATCGACACTTAAAGGGGGACACCCTTTCATGTTTTACACGTGAAGTCATCCGAGTTATCACCTGTGTATCCAACTGTGGAGCTCCATTATCGCTTATATAAAGTGCCCTTTAATCCTTTCTTTATTATGTAACCTCGCATTTGTTAAACAGGCAGTTGTCATCAGCCTACATGAATACATTACACGTTTATGAATAAGAGCCTCTTTTATTCTTTACACGACGTTTCAGAGCTAATCCGTGCTTCTTCATCAGGTGAACTTCTAAATGCCTGTCAGGAACTTCATACCCCTGATGAAGGAACAAGAATCAGCTGTAATAAGGTGTTATCCATAAATGTGTCATGTGTTCATGTTCATCCAACTTCTAAATGTCCTTCAAGAATCTGTAAAAACATCGTATGTATATATTTCATTAACATCATCTGTCTATGTACATCTTTTATCGCTTTATTCGTAAATGACTTGATGATTGAAGCCGTTCTGATATGATCAAACTTAAAATTGGCATGTTAGAAGTTGCTGCAAGACAGAGCATTGTGGCACAAGCTCTTAACGTTTCACAGACAGTAATTATCCGATTACAATCATATATCAACAGCAAAATACGATATCGTATAGGCGTCTATCTGGTCGACCAGGGACAACTGACACACAAGATCGTTTCATTAGAATGACTGTGTTCCGAAACGGTGGTGACTCTCAAATTGGAGATGAGCTTCTCAGAGCTACAGGTGAGTGGACACAACTGCATTTGCATGCTCGACGTTCACATGTGATCCCATGACAGACGGACCGTCACATTAGGATAAGACGCCGTTGGTGTCAAGAAAGGTATTGCTGGACCAATCATCGTTGGTTTTCGGATGATTCAAGGTCTTCTTTAGACTTCTTTGATAGGCGCAGCAGAATATGGAGTTAATGCAATGAACGCTTTCGTGCCGTTAACGTGAGACAGTACGATCGTTTTGGGGGTAGATAGTAATAGTGATCGTGGCAATATCCTGGAGGCACACAAGGTACCATTTGCGCACCGACATAGACGTCGTTTTGTGTTTCTGTGTATCGACAAAAGGAGATCTTAACCACTTTACCATGCTCAGTCTCAGCACTCAGACCTCTCGCCTATCGAACCTGTCTGGGGTATTCTTGGGGCGTACGTCACTCAACCCCTCAACGAACTTGGAGGTGATCTGCAGGAAGAATGGGATTGAATTAACCAGCTTGACATTGCACGTTTGATTAAGTGTATGCCTAGTCGAATTATGGATTTTCTTGAGAAAAACGGTGGATTCCCGCGATATTTATGAGTTTGAATTTTCATAGTAAATGACGTGATGGACAGTTGGGCGCATTGGAAAATCTTCTAACAAAATCTCTGGTCATCTGACCATCAACGACTACTGCAAATCTCAGGCAGATATCCCTGCTACACTGTTGAACTATATATCTCATTAAAGACGTACAATATCAATCGTTGTGAGAATGTTTTAATCAAATATACTTTACATTGTTTAATACAAATGTAGTACAGTTTACATGGAATTCACTCTCCGCCCAGTAGCAGGTGTAGAATACTCGCCTGTGTATACATATATTAGGAAGTTATACGGTCATGTGATTAGTTACACAGTCCTGTAACTCCGCCGTATGCTGTGCCAGAGTATTGCAGCTTCTGCAAGAATATCATCACAACTACGCAGTGTGCATGTGTCTGTGTGTGTGCCTGTTTGCGGTGTCAGTAAGAATTTTTATTCTCAAGTTCCCTAACCTGCTCACAATATATACTGAAATCCATTAGAAACGCACCACCCTATTATCAGTGATCATGGAATATCGAACACAAATTTGGAACACAAACTGTGCTTGAAGTAATCTGACTTTGATAGATACACGTGATACACAACCACAAACACGTGCATCCTTGCGTGATCACGTGAATCCCACATTTGCTGAAAATCACCATTTCACCTGCAAATCGCGTGAAAATGGAAAAAAATACATGACGGGTCCACAACACATAGAATGATCATTCAGCCGTCACTTTTGAACAGCACCACATTGTTGACTTCACATAATGCCACGTTTATCAGCTGTTGTGAGAAAGAGCTATTGAGCTTTCTTGTGACTCGTTTGTCCCCAGGCCAAGTGACCGGAAGGAATAACAGTTTCCAGGGGCGTAGCTACCATTATAAAAAAAACCGGGCTTACACATGATTTTTGCTGAAGGTCACCATGAAAGTTGGGCTTATTTAAATAAAAAGCTTTGCAACTTATCGAGCTTACTCGCAAAAAATTGTCTTGCGCGCCTGGTTATTGTCACAATTGTCCATTTAAGTCCGTTATTGTTAATTCATGATTGCATTAAACGACGAACGACTGCTGTTTCTTTTGTTTCCATCTTGATTGACATTTCAATGTCAGTAGGGACAATTTCCTTTCTTTATTCTTATTTATCCTTTCAGGGAGATCACGTCTTATCCCGGGGATGCGTTTCTAATGGATTTCAGTATAGTCAGAATTGTACAATCAGCTCTGCTTTTAGCAGAGATGTCTTCTGGATGAACAAAAGGTTTTGTCGCTTCTATTTGCAGCACCTTGGTCACCCAAGGCCTTGACTGTTAGGCCTGCTCATGCTATGTTCTGCCTCAAAGTATGCAAGCACAATACATTTGACAGCCTTCGCCTTGAGTGTATGCCGGATTTGCCGGATTGAATAAATTGTACACGTTCAACGCAAGTCGAGCCTTTTCATGGACGGGAGCGGTGGAGTAGCAAAATGGTTAAAGCGTTCGCTCGTCACGCTGAAGACCCGGGTTCGATTCCCTACATGGGTACAATGTGTGAAGCCCATTTCTGGTGTCCTCCGGCGTTGCTGGAATATTGCTAACAGCAGCGTAAAACTAAACTCACTCGTCCTCTCTGCAGGGGGATCTACTCACACCCTGACATTTAACCACTGTCATGTCTTCTTGTTGAATACCCTGTCACGTCTTGATGTTCAACCATAAAGGCCATGTCTTCTTGTTGAACATCATGTCACGTAACTGTGATATGAGGTATTCGGTGTTTCAGATTTGTATTCCTGTTATGAAGTATTATAGCTAATATTTCTGCGCATATTAAGAATACATATGGGGATAGTGGATCACCTTGTCTGCAGACTCTTGTGATACTAAACAAATAAAAGTAAGTAATTCCCGCGGGGTAGCTATTCTTTTCGAAGATACTTTTGAATTTAAAATCTTAGACCAAATACAAGATCTCGAAAATGGCAACTTCCTCGCACTAAAACTGCAACTAACAGACGGAACTTTTACACTAATAGCAACATACGGGCCTAATACAGACTCACAATCGTTCTTTGAAAACATATTTGATATTATTAAAAAATTCGATTCTGATCACCATTCCATCTGTGGCGTCTGGAACATAATCCAAAATCGACCTAGTTAACTAAAAGATGTATATAACCGAATGCAAGAGAAAAGCTTCTAGAATCTATCGATGATTATTGATAATACATATGATCTACACACTGGCTTCTCTCCCTGGATCACCACCATATGATCTATATCAATATGGATCACATATATCTACACACTGGCTTCAATCCATGGATCACCATCACATATATGATCTACACACTGGCTTTCCTCCCTGGATCACCATCATATACTATTCACACTTTGCTAAGGATCAAAACATGGATTCAACAGAAAACTATGATGTTGGGTCAAATTTGGTTTAAATATCTAAGCTTATTGTAAGCATGGATCCTAGGTTTCAGTTTGTCATTTCATCTTGCAGAACCCATACCTGCTATTGACAGGTGTTGTGTACTTGTCAATGACTCCTTCAATGACTTGCAAAATGGTTGATTGGTGCCATGAAAACCATTTCCATGGTTACTCATGTATCAAGTGCATAAGGTTAGATTAAAGTGACTGTTTGCCTAAAGATGGGTTACCATATTATTATTTATCCAATTTCAAATTATAAATCTACGTTTAAGTAAAGTTGTGAATTTTGTGATCCTTAGCAAAGTGTGAGTAGTATATATATGATCTCCACACTGGCTTCCATCCATAGATCACCATCACATATATGATCTACACATTGGCTTCCATCCATGGATCACCATCACATATATGATCTACACACTGGCTTCCCTCCCAGGATCACCATCACATATATGATCTACACATTGGCTTCCCTCCCTGGATCACCATCACATATATGATCTACACACTGGCTTCCATCCATGGATCACCATCACATATATGATCTACACACTGGCTTCCCTCCCTGGATCACCATCACATATATGATCTACACACTGGCTTCCATCCACGGATCACCATCACATATATGATCTACACACTGGCTTCCATCCATGGATCACCATCATATATATGATCTACACACTGGCATTCCTCCCTGGATCACCATCATATATATGATCTACACACTGGCTTCCATCCATGGATCACCATCACATATATGATCTACACACTGGCATACCTCCCTGGATCACCATCATATATATGATCTACACACTGGCTTCCATCCATGGATCACCATCACATATATGATCTACACACTGGCTTCCATCCATGGATCACCATCACATATATGATCTACACACTGGCTTTCCTCCTTCAGACATCACTGACTCAGTGATAAAGTTCTGGACACAGGACTACTTAGCAGACAGTTTAATTGCCTAAGTTTCTCCTAAACTGCTGCTCTTTTGTGTCCCTGAGCTTTCATGTCTGCAGTGTCAGCAGTAGTGGGGGTCTCGATTAATTGAAATAAACGACCAAGCAATCGATTATGTTTTCTCATAATCGAACACAAACAATTCTGGAACACTTGTTTGCATTAACAATATTTTTCACAAGGTTGGTTTTGTCTGTTTCATTTCATCAACATTACAAGCTCGTTCCAAGTCAGGTTTGAATTTATCTTAAAGACTCCAGGAAATTTATGTTCCTAACATACTAGTCATCCTTTAAAGATGTTAAATTTGCACATGCATTTTGTGGAATTTGCAAAAAGACTCATAAGAACTACGTTTTTCTTTGTTTTTTGTGCAGTAACAAACATAACCAGAAAAATTTGATAAATGATGCTGACCAATCATTTTCGATGCTTGATCCGTTGTAATGAACAAATCATCAATTATGAGATTTTATCCAATTCCCAACACTAGTCAGCAGTCATATGCTCCTCAAGGTGGGTTGTCCCAGATGGCGCACGTAAAGAAATCGAATTTCTACTGCCATCTTGGAAATGGTCAAAGTTATAGAATGATAGGGTGACTATAGTGACTTTCTAAAACGTATTCAAAGTGTCATATATATCTTTCTGTGTCTATCTACAAAGTACTCCAATCAACTGTAGGATTTGTTTCACATGTGCTGGAATATCAGGAAACATACAAATGGGGATGTGTATATTTTACAAGAATCCACACATCACTAACTAACAAATCAAAACAATGAGTCATTGATATCAACAAAACATTTATTAAATGGGTCATTTGACATAATATTTCAACAAGTGACATTAACATCAGCTCATATAAAATTAAAGAAGTAGGTGTGGACTGGAGACACAGTGACTGATAAAGGAAGAACTGTTATGGATGTCAACTTCTGTAATATGAGGAAAACAGCTTTTCCAACTACATTGTTACTCCTTGAGGCTTGAGCTGAATCATTTACCTGATGAACTTATAAAATCATACTCCGAAAAGTTGTCTTCCTCATATTAGACAATTGACATCCATACAATTTACCCCTTTATGTGAATCACTTCTAAATGCTATTAAAATAATTTAACAGTGACTGATGATGCAACAATGGACCCTGTTCTCCAACCTCACTCAGCCCTGCTCCACATACATGGACATGACAGCCCTGCCCTAAACTTACTGACATTCTTTGTACAACACCTCCATGCATACACATCAGGATTGCAGCTCAATACAAATATTCCACCAGTGCTGGTATTGTATCCACTGCTTCCTCCTTCCCCTTAAACCTGTTAAAATTCCAAAATTCAAAATCTAAATGTACATTCCTAAAACCCAACCTTCTCAGGCTGCTCCCTCTCTATCCCTAACTTTATTTTTCCAAGCAGAAATGGCATTATGTTGGGAAGCACAAATGAAATCTTAAATACATCATCATCATCATCATCATCATCATCATCATCATCATCATCATCATCAGGTACTGTGACCAATACTCACCACCTCCTAGGCAGTGTTCTAGTAACAGAGATCAACAGGGACCATACACGCAACAAGGCAACAGAAACTAACTGCACCACAAAAAATGACACACAAGATAAAATGCAAACATATTCAAACCAAATTCCAATGGGAACCTAAACAGCTGTGTGATATACAGAAACAATGTGTATAGACAAATCACTGATCTCAGTATTCAGCATAAACTAACTATATGGCAGGAGTCATTTCTCACCAAAAGGCCAACAAAACGTTTCATATACTTTGAGATACATGCTTCAGTCAGCTTGGGTTTAATTACTCTCTAAAAACTCCTCAGAGAAGCATGGGTATGATATGATCCATGTACAGATGAACCAGTTATGCATTGTGTTACAAACAAAACGTAAGGGATAACTTTTCTACAATATCAATTCTGTTATGTGGTATATCTGTGTAACAGTGCCAACATAGTAGAGTACACAAAGCTGATCAAACCAGCCCCCTTGTAGAGTAGGTGGTAGGAACCCATCAGCAGTTTCTGGTACAGGCCCCCACTCGGGTCAGAAATCGATACTATATGTATTATATAGTAGGGGTGTAGTCATCAACACCCCTACCTATAATACATATTGAATATTTGCTACTACCGATAAGATAGGCACTATCGGTTTAGTATCAACACCCCCTACTATATAATATATAGTAGGGGGTGTTGATACTAAACCGGGGCCTAGTTTATCGATTTTCTGACCCGCAGTGGGGGCCTGTGGTTTCTGGTGGGAGACGAGTGACAGGGAGATTGGAGATGCAATCTTGTCACTTGATCATTCATGGCTATCATTCATCCAAATACTGCATAGAATGGCTTGTTACACCAGCTGGACATGGTTCTCCAGGCCATTTGTTATATATACAGCAATGAGGAGAAATATACATCTGTGCTATACAATGCCCTTTTTATTCAATGGATATTTACACCTTGGAAAGATGAAGAGAAGAGTATGTTTGTACAAATGAGATGAAGATGAATAATGATCTGAACAGGAATGGAGTGACTTGATGAGTGTGTGAGAACATTATTTCAGCAATACTCCAGATAGATGACACTGAAGCCAGCAATACTCCGGCCTGTCCAGACAGTGAACAGTGAAGCCAGCAATACTCCAGCCTGTCCAGACAGTGAGGACTGAAGCCAGCAATACTCCAGCCTGTCCAGACAGTGAACACTGAAGCCAGCAATACTCCAGCCTGTCCAGACAGTGAACACTGATGCCAGCAATACTCCAGCCTGTCCAGACAGTGAACACTGAAGCCAGTCCATACTCCAGCAATATGTCCAGACAGTGAACACTGAAGCCAGCAATACTCCAGCCTGTCCAGACAGTGATACACTGATGCCAGCAATCCAGCCTCCAGACAGCCTGTCCAGACAGTGATCACTGATGCCAGCAGTACTCCAGCCTGTCCAGACAGTGAACACTGATGCCAGCAATACTGAAGCCCAGCCTGTCCAGACAGTGAACACTGAGCGCCAGCAATACTACAGCCTGTCAGACAGACAGTGAACACTGATGCCAGCAATACTCCAGCCTGTCCAGACAGTGAACACTGAAGCCAGCAATACTCCAGCCTGTCCAGACAGCCTGTCCAGAGTGAACACTGATGCCAGCAATACTGCAGCCTGTCCAGACAGTGAACACTGATGCCAACAATACTCCAGCCTGTCCAGACAGTGAACACTGATGCCTGATACTCCAGCCTGTCCAGACAGTGCCATACTCCAGCCTGTCCAGACAGTGAACACTGAAGCCAGCAATACTCCAGCCTGTCCAGACAGTGAACACTGAAGCCAGCAATACTCCAGCCTGTCCAGACAGCGAACACTGATGCCAACAATACTGCAGCCTGTCCAGACAGTGAACACTGAAGCCAGCAATACTCCAGCCTGTCCAGACAGTGAACACTGAAGCCAGCAATACTCCAGCCTGTCCAGACAGTGAACACTGAAGCCAGCAATACTCCAGCCTGTCCAGACAGCCAACAAACACTGAAGCCAGCAATACTCCAGCCTGTCCAGACAGTGAACACTGAAGCCAGCAATACTCCAGCCTGTCCAGACAGTGAACACTGATGCCAGCAATACTCCAGCCTGTCCAGACAGTGAACACTGATGCCAGCAATACTCCAGCCTGTCCAGACAGTGAACACTGAAGCCAGCAATACTCCAGCCTGTCCAGACAGTGAACACTGATGCCAGCAATACTCCAGCCTGTCCAGACAGTGAGGACTGATGCCAGCAATACTGCAGCCTGTCCAGACAGTGAACACTGAAGCCAGCAATAGTCCAGCCTGTCCAGACAGTGAGGACTGATGCCAGCAATACTGCAGCCTGTCCAGACAGTGAACACTGATGCCAGCAATACTTTGGACAGATGACACTAATGCCAGACAGGGGACACTGATTTGTTCAACACTGCAGCCTATCCAGACAATGGACACAGATACAGTCAGTGAACAATGATTCTAGCAACACTGCAGCCTATCCCAATAGTGGACAAAGGTTTCAGAGAGCTAACACAAATTCCAGCCTGCAGATTCATTTCTAACTATGGACTAAATGCCACTTAAAGAAGATATGGACAAAAAGTTTGGCTTCATATACCTTACCTAGGAAACAAACCCTAGTGTTGTGTATAAAGAGTGCACACACAAGACCTCCCTGAATATCCCTTATGAAAGGCATGTCTGTGTAACTCACCACATTGTTTCAGAAAACAATATATAACAAGACATATGACAAACAAAATATGCTAATCCCTTCTTCATGCATGCAAGCCATTGTAAGGAACATTAGCATCACATGCCTGAATGCAATACTCCTATGTGAATGGCTTGTCACCTTCTTTTAAACCTATACAGGTAAGTCTTTTAACTTCTTCCACATACATTGTTTCTATACCAAGCCCACAGACAAATCTGCTCTTGTCTCATAAAACAAAAGTTAATTTGTTACATGTGTCTTCTGTCAGTGCCTTACAATCATAATACAGTATGCATGGATGAAGTCTTTGTAACTACTACAAGTGTGGTCTCTCATGTAAAAGACAATTTACCTCTTACAATTCTGAACATTTGCTCAATAACACATGCAGTTCCTACAGTCTTATAAAGACAAGGACGAAACCCCATCACAAGAGTTATCATGGTACACCTTGCTGATATATACCATGATGATAAACACTATGCTGCTACAACATGTTGATACACCATGCACACAGAGTTATACCTACACACACCATGCACACAGAGGAATACCATGCACAGAGTTATACTACACACACCATGCACACAGAGTTATACCTACACAAACCATGCACAGAGGGGGAATGCCTACACACACCATGCACACACACACCATGCACACAGAGGAATATCTACACACCATGCACACAGAGGGGAATACCTACACACACCACACACATGCCTACCACACACCATGCACACAGGGAATACCTACACACACCATGCACACAGAGTTATACCTACACACACCATGCACACAGAGTTATACCTACACACACCATGCACACAGAGGAATACCTACACACACCATGCACACAGGGGAATGCCTACACACACCATGCACACAGAGGTATACCTACACACCATGCACACAGAGCCATGACCTAGAGCTGTTCCATATAGTGTCCACTGTCCTCAGTCCTACACACAGACATACTAATGCCATGACACAGAGCTGTTCCAAATAGTGTCCATTGTCCTCAGTCCTACAAACAGACATAGTTCTCCATGAAACACAGATGATCTACCAAATATTTCTGTTCCCAGGTTCAGTCGTCAGTACCACAGTCCAGCATAGTTACCCCATGACACTGACGACAGAGGTCCCCCTGCGGCAAACAAACGTGTGCCACTTGAGTCATAAGCATGGGTATACACTGCATTTGGGAAGCCTGGGTTCGACAAAAAGAAGCGGTCATCCTCTTCTGGTTTCTGAAACAGTCAAGGATCTTGTTATTTCTCACAGAATCAATTAATAGATATTTGGTCAATTTGAACAGAACACATTAACTATTTAATCTCAAATATTAAATGAAGGATGAACTGGCGATCACATTACATCTTTTTATTTTTGTATACTTTTAGTAACATTAAAATCATGGGATGTCTGTTTGGACCTGTTAACTATGTGTTGTGTGAGGATGTGTGAAGGTCTGTGAGCTCTGTGTTGTTTGGAGGCCTGTTATAGGTGTTTAGTTGGAAGACCTGTCAACTGTTAGCTACGTAAAGGTCTGTTAACTGTGTGTTAAGCAAAGGCCTATTAGCTGTGTGAAGGCCTGTTAGCTCTGTGAAGGCCTGTTAGCTGTGTGAAGGCCTGCTGGCTATGTGAAGGCCTGTTAGCTGTGAGAAGGCCTGTTGGCTGTGAAGGCCTGTTGGCTATGTGAAGGTCTGTTAGCTCTGTGAAGGCCTGTTAGCAGTGTGTTATGCAAAGGCCTGCCAAGTGTGTTTTGTGTGAAGACCTGTCAGTTGTGTTGGTTGAAGGGGTTTCATAATGTCTGCTGTGCAAGTCTGTTAGAAATGTGTTGTGTGACAACCTGTTAACAGTCTTTCAAACAGACTCACCAGCCAGCCGGAGCCCACACTCAGGTAACAGGCATGGCCACAGTTGTGCTGGATGTACTTGCATGCCCGTAGATCATAGAATAGGACCATACCATACCCTGTGCCTATGGTCAAAATGTCCTCATTGAAACTGACAGATCGAATACCTACAACATAACATCAACATTCAATGTAAAGTAACACTACCGCTTTGTGAACCACATTATCTACAGTATTCTCAAAAATTGTCCATTGTCCTCGGTCCTACAAACAGACAGAGTTATGCCATGACATTTGTTTCAGCAAATATCTAATACATGTATTGAAAGTATAGAAGTTTTACTTAAATGAGTATGTTGAGATATGATTCTCTTACAATCTACAGTCCGTTTGAGTCAGAAACGGACCGATGAATTGCAAATTTTTTCATTGTACAAAATTGCCACAGAAATATAAGTAGTACACATGTTTATCATTTACTAATACCCAACAGCTTTCTTATATTTAAAAATTTTCCGGACTCCACCAAAAAAGTTGTTTATGAAACTAACATCATTGAAAACGCAAAAGTTGTTATCTGTCGCGGCGGGGTGAAACCGCCGAAACGGAACAGCCACTATCTTGTTGTGCACGGGATACACATGCCTGATGAAAAATGAAGTTGAATGCTGACGTGAAACAGTTGATGATTAAAGTGCACGATTTTTTACGTGCTGAAGCCGAAAGGGGCAAACCATTTTATGCCATTAATAAATTCCGTAAGCGGGCAGCAAAAGCTTTAGGAGTATCAGCAAGGGTACTGACAAATGTTCTGGAACACAAACATTGTGAGGGTGATGCGAAGCAGGTAGGGGTCGTGTCAAAATCACACAAATGAAAACATTTGAACAACTTTCAAAAGAACCTTGTAAGGCAGTCTATCAACAAGCTCTATTCTGAAAACAAATACATGTCGCTGAAAATTTTAAAAAAGCATTTGAAGCAAGAACACAACCTCAGAGTTTCAAAGTACACACTCTGGCGACTCTTATACTCTTTCGGGTATCGTTATAAGAAAATTTCGGGGGAGAATAGGTCAGTACTCTGTGACCGCCCGTTCGTTCGCTTGAGAAATAATTTTTCAGGGTTATAAAGAAGAAGCGCAAGGAATGGTTCGAGCCAGTGTACTTGGACGAGACCTGGGTCAATGCCTCGCACACTGCCAGCAGTCAGTGGGTACCCGATGGGGGTGATAAGGGGTCACGTAGAAAGCTGCCTCTAGGGAAAGGAGAGAGACTAATCATTCTCCATGCTGGTTGCTCCAGCAAAGGCTTTCTCCCAGGCTGCGACTTGGTATTCAGGGCAAAGTCCACAGAAAACAGAGACTACCATTCCGAGATGAATGGTGCGGTTTTCCTCAATTGGGTTACAAACAAGTTGGTACCAGCTCTACCAGAGAAGTCTTTTATCGTAATGGACAATGCCCCATACCACAGCGTGCAGGACCCCGACAGTAAAGCCCCGACATTGAAAAGTCGAAAAGGTGATATGATATCATGGCTCAACAAATTTCAGATCGCACGGCCTTCAAAGGCAATGAAGCCTCAGCTATATGAGATCATAAAAACCCACAAAGGTGAACCTTTCTACAAAGTTGACAGTTACATAAAAAGTAAGGGTCACGATATTCTGCGACTTCCACCCTATCACTGTGACCTTAACCCCATTGAAATGATATGGGGTATTGTCAAAGGAGATGTTGCCAGATCAAACACAACTTTTAGATTACGTGACGTAGAGGTTTTGGTTAAGGAATCCCTTAACAAAATCACGACTAAAACTTGGCAAAACTGTGTCAACAACGTAGCTAACGTCATTGAACAAGGTTACTGGTCTCGGGATGGCTTACAACAGGCAACTGTGGCACCACTTGTCATCCCTTTAAGTCGTGACTATGACACTACGACGGACGAGGAACCGACAGGTCTCCCAGAATAGATTTTGAGATGTCCCCCCGCCATGACTGGCGGTTCCGTTTCTGCGGTTTCACCCCGCCGCGACAGATAACAACTTTTGTGTTTTCAATGATGATAGTTTCTTAAACAACTTTTTTGGTGGAGTCCGGAAAATTTTAACATATAAGAAAGCTGTTGGGTATTAGTAAATGATAAACATGTGTACTATTTATATTTCTGTGGCAATTTTGTACAATGAAAACATTTGCAATTCATCGGTCCGTTTCTGACTCAAACGGACTGTAAGTGTCTTTTCAGTATTTTGTGAGACCTCCTTGCCCTGCATTGCATGACTGATTGCACCTAGGTACACTACTGATCAAAGTTTGTAGGAAATCGTGAGACAGCGTATTCCAATATTGACCACTTCTTTCTTCATATCCTCAATATTTCTAAGTCCTTTTTGGTTTATTCTGTCCTTCATTAGTCCCCACACATTCTCAATAGGGTTAAGATCTGGGCTGTAGCAGGGCCAGTCTAAAACTTGAACATTTTCGTCTGAGAACCACTGTTTTGTGTAGCCCGCGGTGTGTTTTGGGTCATTATCATGCTGGGAAATCCAATTATCTTCATACAGTGTTCGGGCCATTGGAAGGAGGAGATCATTTAAAATGTCAACATATCCTTCCTTTGTCAAATTTCCAGTGAAAATCCACAACAGCGTCACTCCACGTGATGATATCCCACCCCACATGTGAAATTTCGGGGTATGTTTTGGCAGTTGGTAAATAGGTTTCAGGGTATCTTTTGTCCACATTTTCAGACAGCTAGGCTGAACTTTCATCAGAAAAGAAAACATTATCCCAATCTTGATTTTTGTGAGCCATACACCAGTTTAAACGTCTTTATTGTTGTGCATCTTTCATCAATGGTGAAGGAATTACGTGCTTTTTCACCCAGTTAAGTCTTTGTAATTCTTGTCTAAGGGTTTCATTACATACCTGAGGACTTCCTCTATTAATCATCTCATTTCTGATATTCTCAACAATTCTAACATTTCCCCTACTCACAATCTGACCAAGTCGCCGGCGATCCGTAGTACTGAACTTCCTTAGCCTCCCTGCCCCGTCTTGTGCTCAACCCCAATTACTGACTGAATATTCTTCAAAGTTTTGTATACTGTAGACAGAGGATTGTCATGTCTACCAGCTAACTCTTTTGCATTAGTCACACCCCTTTCAAAATCATCTAGAACCTGCTTTCTTTTCTCTTCCGCTGTCAAATCTGCCACGTCAACAAAGGAAGCCGTCTGCTACACCAGGGGAGATAACTCGTGATGTAGTAAGGCTCATTCTTCAGCCTACAAGAGTTGCCTCCCAGTACCTTACTACATAATGTAACACCTATTTAAAAATACTATTATCAGTATTAGGAAACTAATATTTTCTCACTCTATTCCGGGAATACTATATACTCCAGGCTAGTACACATGGCAAACATTACTAAGGGCGTAACTTCATTCACAAAAGAAATGGTAAATTCCTAAGAGACGTTATTTGGCTGAGAATTAGCCTTTTCATTTTTTTATTACAGACACACACAATTTCACCTCTGCATGGACCGTCTGACAATATCTTACCTCTGTATGAACTGGCTGACAATGTCTCATCGCTATTTTAAATGTATGATAATATCTCATCGGTTTTTTAACTATGTCTGAAATCTCACCTCTGTATACATGAACTATGCCAACATCTCACCAGTATGAACCATGACATCTCACCTCTATGAACTATGACAACATGTCACCTGTATGAACTATGACATCTCACCTGTATGAACTATGACATCTTACCTGTATGAACTATGACAACATCTCACCTCTATGAACTATGACATCTCACCTCTATAAACTATGACATCTTACCTGTATGAACTATGACAACATCTCACCTGTATGAACTTTGACAACATCTCACCTGTATGAACTATGACAACAGCTGACCTCTGTATGAACTATGACAACATATCACCCCTGAATGAACTATGACATCTCACCCATATGTACTATGACAATATCTCACCTCTGTATGAACTATGCCAACATCTCACCTGTATGAACTATGGCAACATCTCACCTGTATGAACTATGACAACATCTCACCTCTGTATGAACCATGACAACATCTCACCTCTGTATGAACCATGACCACAAATCACCTCTGTATTAACTGACAACTCACCTCTGTATGAACTATGCCAACATCTCACCTCTGTATGAACTATGACAACATCTCACCTGTATGAACTATGACATTTCACCTGTATCAACCATGACAATATCTCACCTCTGTATTAACTATGCCAACATCTCACCTACATGAACTATGACAACATCTCACCTGTATGAACTATGACAACATCTCACCTCTGTATGAACCATGACAACATATCACCTCTGTATGAACTATGACAACATCTCACCTCTGTATGAACTATGACACCATCTCACCTCTGTATGAACTATGACACCATCTCACCTCTGTATGAACTATGACAACATCTCACCTCTGTATGAACTATGACACCATCTCACCTCTGTATGAACTATGACAACATCTCACCTCTGTATGAACTATGACAACATCTCACCTCTGTATGAACTATGACAACATCTCACCTCTGCCTGGATGTTTGGATATGGGTGTGATGTTGCAGTCACTGCGGGGATCCACCAGCAGCACGGAGGAGTGGCAGCCCACAGCATACAGCACCTTCTTCTGGTTGACACACAAACATACGCTTTCTGTGATGTCCAGTAAGTTCTTGCTTGGCATCTTCAAAATAAGCATGTCAAAACTGTCAGCCACAGAAGGTCATCAGTCTGCATGCATGTGATACAGAAATAAATTGACAGAGAGTACTACTAAGTACTGATCATTACTATAACCAGGATAATAGGAATGTGTGTATATCTGAAGACCTCAACATGATAGGAAATCCTGTTCACAAAAAATAGATGCCTTTCTCTAGAGTGTGGGTTTGAAGAAATGATCATCATTCAGGTATGCCAAGGATAAATAACAACAAAGTGTGTGACAGAGAAATGTACATAGCCTAATATCAGATGGAAATCCCAGGATAATATCAGATGGAAATACCTGAATACCTGATATTGTGCAGTCATAGCATTCAGATATTAGTGACTGGCACATTTAGACTTCTGGCACGACATATTTAGACATAAGGCATGACACATTTAGACTTCTGGCACAACATATTCAGACTTCTGGCATGACATATTTGGACATCAGGTATGACATATTTAGACATCAATGCCTGACACTTTTAGACATCAGGTATTCATACATTTAGACATTAGGGATACCAACCCACACTTATGTGAAAACCTCAAATCTAACAAACCATGAATATGACTGACAAGTACATCAAAGGAAATGGTCACAGCATCTTACGACCTTCCCCTTATCTGAACGGGTAAATTGTGGGATGCTGAAAAGTTAGCAAAAGAATCCATTATCTGTGTAACAGTGGCAACAAGATACTGGTCATGTGAAAGACTTCAGCAAGAGTCCCAGCTGTAGTTGTCACCATCAGCAAGGACACAAGCAATTTGTGACGTGATCATGCTGTATTGCGACTACAATTATTATAAGATGACCTGACATTTGCTTGTAATTCCCTGTACTGTTATGTAGTATGTGCAGCACATGCTTGTCACTCCCTGTACTGTGTATGTGCAGTATGTGCGTATGTGCTATGTATGTGCACATGCTTACTTGTCAGCTATGTAGTATGTGCAGCACATGCTTGTCACTCCTGTATGTTACATGCAGTATGTAGTATGTGCAGCCGCATGCTTGTCACTCCCTGTACTGTTATGTAGTATGTGCAGCATGCGCCAGTTATGCTATGTGCAGCACATGCTTGTCACTCCTGTGTACAGCTATGTAGTATGTGCAGCATGCTTGTCACTAGTATGTAGTATGCACATACTTGTACTCCCTGTACTGCTTGTCCTATGTAGTATGTGCAGCACATGCTTGTCACTCCCTGTACTGCTATGTAGTATGTGCAGCACATGCTTGTCACTCCATGTATTACTATGTGCAGCACATGTGCTTGTCATTCCCTGTACAGTACAGCCATGTAGTGTGTGCAGCACATGCTTGTCACTCCTGTACAGTATGTGTGCATGTGCAGCACGTACTTGTCACTCCCTGTACTGCTATGTAGTATGTGCAGCACATGCTTGTCACTCCCCTGTACAGTTAGATGTAGTATGTGCAGCACATGCTTGTCACTGCAGCACATGCTTGTCACTCCTGTACAGCTATGTAGTATACTTGTCACTCACTGTACTGTTATGTAGTATGTGCAGCACATGCTTGTCCTCCCTGTACAGCTATGTAGTATGTGCAGCACATGCACTCCTGTACAGCTATGTAGTATGTGCAGCACATACTTGTCACTCCCTGTACAGCTATGTAGTATGTGTTATGCTATGTGGTATGTGCAGCACATGCTTGTCACTCCCTGTACTGTTATGTAGTATGTGCAGCACATGCTTGTCACTCCCTGTACAGCTATGTAGTATGTGCAGCACATGCTTGTCACTCCCTGTACAGCAGCTATGCAGCACATGCTTGTCACTCCTGTACAGCTATGTAGTATGTGCAGCGTACTTGTCACTCCCTGTACAGCTATGTAGTATGTGCAGCACATGCTTGTCACTCCCTGTACAGCTATGTGTATACGTACTTGTCACCTCCTGTACACTATGTAGTATGTGCAGCACATGCTTGTCACTCCCTGTACAGCTATGTAGTATGTGCAGCATGCTTGTCACTCCTGTACAGCTATGTAGTATGTGCAGCACATGCTTGTCACTCCCTGTACAGCTATGTAGTATGTGCAGCACATGCTTGTCACTCCTGTACTGCTATGTAGTATGTGCAGCACATGCTTGTCACTCCCTGTACAGCTATGTAGTATGTGCAGCACATGCTTGTCACTCCCTGTACAGCTATGTAGTATGTGCAGCACATGCTTGTCACTCCCTGTACAGCTATGTAGTATGTGCAGCACATGCTTGTCACTCCCTGTACAGCTATGTAGTATGTGCAGCACATGCTTGTCACTCCTGTCCCTGTACAGCTATGTAGTATGTGCAGCACATGTCACTCCCCTGTACAGCTATGTGTATGTGCAGCATGCTTGTCACTCACTGTGTCAGCTATGTGTATGTGCAGCTATGCTTGTCCATGTATTGTTCATGCGTGGTATGTGCGTGCTTGTCATTCCCTGTACAGCTATGTAGTATGTGCAGCGCGTGCTTGTCACTCCTGTACAGCTATGTAGTATGTGCAGCACATGCATCACTTCCTGTACTGCTATGTAGTATGTGCAGCACATGCTTGTCACTCCTGTACTGTTATGTAGTATGTGCAGCACATGCTTGTCACTCTCCCTGTACAGCTATTGTATGTGCAGCACATGCTTGTCACTCCTGTACAGCTATGTAGTATGTGCAGCCGCATTACTTGTCACTCACTGTACTGTTATGTAGTATGTGCAGCACATGCTTGTCCTCCATGTATTGTTATGTAGTATGTGCAGCCGCGTACTTGTGCAGTACAGCTATGTATGTGCATGTGCTGCGTGTGTCCTCCTGTACAGCTATGTAGTATGTGCAGCACATGCTTGTCACTCCCTGTACAGCTATGTAGTATGTGCAGCACATGCTTGTCACTCCCTGTACTGCTATGTAGTATGTGCAGCACATGCTTGTCACTCCCTGTACAGCTATGTAGTATGTGCAGCACATGCTTGTCACTCCCTGTCTGCTATGTGGTATGTGCAGCTATGTCACTCCTGTACAGCTATGTAGTATGTGCAGCACGTTTGCTTTTGCACCTACTATTGTGCCCCCTCCTTCTAAGTTGTCAACACATAACAACAAGCTTTCATAAACAACTTTTCCAGTGATAGGTATAAAATTAACAAACTCCAGATATTGTTGGGTACAAGGTATTCATTGCAATGTATTATGTTGACATTTAATAGACTAGTCCCAATTTTGTTACTTAATTTGCAAATCATCATTCTCAGTCACATTCAAACAGATCAGAAGTCAGGGACTGACAACACATTCCCACACAAACAACTGACACATTCAGAAATATTTTTATCACATTTCCATCTTACACCAATCTTACCTGTGTGAAAGTTTCGATATCCCACAGGTGAAAGTAGCCATTTAGAGACAAGGCAGCCAGTTCCTGGAACACAAAACAATGTAGAACATGCACCTGAACACATCCTCCAAACATTCACCTTCCCATACCCATTATAACATGCACCCAGAACACACAGAAAGGACAAAACCCCTTGGCACATACTCAGGACCCATCTCATGAACACACCCACAGTACACATCCCCAAGGCTGGCTGTCCCATCCTTCATTTAAGGTGTTGACGAAGAGTTGGTGATTTGTCACAACATCATGTCAGAGAGTTCCCTGTGAAGACATCTGACTCAAGGATTGATCACTAGTTGAGCCACAGCAAGCTGAGGAGTATTGCGGTCAGGTGAGTCAAGGGCGACTCACAGATGGATGTGTCAATGCTGCAGATGGAGAAAGATGTGGAGTCCTATGTAGTTCTGGAGGTTGACACATCCCCAATGTTAGCAGGAGAAGAGAAAACCTGATGAAAAGCAGGATTTCCCATCAGGGAATCGTCTATGAGACAGCTAAAGGCAATTCACCACTGGTGTAATAATGTCTCATGAGTTACGATATGTCTGAAAAGCCAAGGGGCAGTAAAAATGCCAAACAACTGAACTTTCCAATGGTGTAGGCATTGAAGATAAAGCAAAGATAACAATGGTGTGCTAGAAAGGTCGGGACATGCCTGTCCTGGTGGTGAGTAGTGGCAGTAGCAAGACACTGAAAGACTCTGCGGAAGTCATCTAAGTCAAGGTTTTCAGTATCCTAGCATACCCTGCGCCGGAATGAGTCACACACATCTGCAGCTCCTGAACAGCAGTTTTGGCTTGAGAGAGACATCTCATATCACGCCCTGGAGAGAGACTTCTCATATCACTCCCTGGAGAGAGACTTCTCATATCACTCCCTGGAGAGAGACTACTCATATCACTCCCTGGAGAGAGACTACTCATGTCACTCCCTGGAGAGAGACATCTCATATCACGCCCTGGAGAGAGACTTCTCATATCACTCCCTGGAGAGAGACTACTCATATCACTCCCTGGAGAGAAACTTCTCATATCACTCCCTGGAGAGAGACTTCTCATATCACTCCCTGGAGACTACTCATATCACTCCCTGGAGGGAGACTTCTCATATCACTCCCTGGAGAGGCTACTCATATCACTCCCTGGAGGGAGACTTCTCATATCACTCCCTGGAGAGAGACTTCTCATATCACTCCCTGGAGAGAGACTTCTCATATCATTCCCTGGAGAGAGACTTCTCATATCACTCCCTGGAGAGAGACTTCTCATATCACTCCCTGGAGAGAGACTTCTCATATCACTCCTTGAGAGAGACTACTCATATCACTCCCTGGAGAGAGACTTCTCATATCACTCCCTGGAGAGAGAAATCTCATATCACTCCCGTGCATGGTTACCAAACAATTTACCCACCAATCATGGATGATGGAGAAGTCAGAACAGAAATAAAAGATGCAATCCCACTTCCTCAATTTAAGCTTGTGATCTTGGTAGCAGGGAGCCCATAACGTGCATCAAAAGTTGTGCCATGTCTTCCAACAGAGGAATGATGTCAAGAATTCAATCAGCATGCTTATGTGTGGCCTATTCTTCTACTTAATGCTTGAGTAAAGGTGATGATAGGAGACAAAGGGAGGAAAGCAAGTTTGAATCTACTGCCATCGATCTTGAGGTAAATGACAATATGCCCCCAACCCACAGTGGATTCCACATCAGGTGGTAGCAGGGAACAATACGCAGTGGACCTTGAACTGAGATGGAGTAACGGGACTGTAGCCATCATAAACAGCAAAAGTTCACAATTGGGTAGAGTGAGTGAGTTTAGTTTTACGCCAGCTATATGGCGGCGGTCTGTAAATAATCGAGTCTGGATCAGACAATCCAGTGATCAACAACATGAGCATCGATCTGCGCAATGGGGAACCGATGACATGTGTCAACCAAGTCAGTGAGCCTGACCACCCGATCCCGTTAGTCGCCTCTTATGACAAGCATGGGTTCCTTAAGGCCAATATTCTAACCAGACCTTCACGGGTCCACAATTGTGTAGAAACACAAGTTTGAGAATTCCCATAATCCACAGAATGCAATCTTTGGATGCAAATGGAGACTGCTTTACCATTGTAGAAGCTACAATGTAGAGACCCGCACCACATGAGAAGTCCTTAAGCAAGGAGCAAGCACTTAGACACCCGTCTTAAGAAGGTGAATGTGATCCTGGTGGTTCCTGAAATAGACGCCAATGACTACTAGCATAGTGGGGGTTCTAGAGCTGCAGGGGCCTCAGTATACTGAGGGCAATGTCGGAAGTGTTGGGTGCTCCACCCACACAGTAAGCATGGTGGGGGTTCTAGAGCTGCAGGGGCCTCAGTATACTGAGGGCAATGTCTGAAGTGTTGGGTGCTCCACCCACACAGTAAGCATGGTGGGGGTTCTAGTGCTGCAGGGGCCTCAGTATACTGAGGGCAATGTCTGAAGTGTTGGGTGCTCCACCCACACAGTAAGCATGGTGGGGTTCTAGTGCTGCAGGGGCCTCAGTATACTGAGGGCAATGTCGGAAGTGTTGGGTGCTCCACCCACACAGTAAGCATGGTGGGGGTTCTAGTGCTGCAGGGGCCTCAGTATACTGAGGGCAATGTCGGAAGTGTTGGGTGCTCCACCCACACAGTAAGCATGGTGGGGGTTCTAGTGCTGCAGGGGCCTCAGTATACTGAGGGCAATGTCGGAAGTGTTGGGTGCTCCACCCACACAGTAAGCATGGTGGGGGTTCTAGTGCTGCAGGTGCCTCAGTATACTGAGGGCAATGTCGGAAGTGTCAGGTGCTCCACCCACACAGTAAGCATGGTGGGGGTTTCTAGTGCTGCAGGGGCCTCAATATACTGAGGGGGCAATGTCGGAAGTGTTGGGTGCTCCACCCACACAGTAAGCATGGTGGGGGTTCTAGTGCTGCAGTGCCTCAGTATACTGAGGGCAATGTCGGAAGTGTTGGGTGCTCCACCCACACAGTAAGCATGGTGGGGGGTTCTAGTGCTGCAGGGGCCTCCAGTATACTGAGGGCAATGTCTGGAAGTGTTGGGTGCTCCACCCACACAGTAAGCATGGTGGGGGTTCTAGTGCTGCAGGGGCCTCAGTATACTGAGGGCAATGTCTGAAGTGTTGGGTGCTCCACCCACACAGTAAGCATGGTGGGGGTTCTAGTGCTGCAGGGGCCTCAATATACTGAGGGCAATGTCGGAAGTGTTGGGTGCTCCACCCACACAGTAAGCATGGTGGGGGTTCTAGTGCTGCAGGGGCCTCAGTATACTGAGGGCAATGTCGGAAGTGTTGGGTGCTCCACCCACACAGTAAGCATGGTGGGGGTTCTAGTGCTGCAGGGCCTCAGTATACTGAGGGGCAATGTCGGAAGTGTTGGGTGCTCCACCCACACAGTAAGCATGGTGGGGGGTTCTAGTGCTGCAGGGGCCTCAGTATACTGAGGGCAATGTCTGAAGTGTTGGGTGCTCCACCCACACAGTAAGCATGGTGGGGGTTCTAGTGCTGCAGGGGCCTCAGTATACTGAGGGCAATGTCGGAAGTGTTGGGTGCTCCACCCACACAGTAAGCATGGTGGGGGTTCTAGTGCTGCAGGTGCCTCAGTATACTGAGGGCAATGTGAGCCGGAGGAAGTGTTGGGTGCTCCACCCACACAGTAAGCATGGTGGGGGTTCTAGTGCTGCAGGGGCCCTCAGTATACTGAGGGCAATGTCGGAAGTGTAGGTGCTCCACCCACACAGTAAGCATGGTGGGGGTTCTAGTGCTGCAGGGGCCTCAGTATACTGAGGGCAATGTCGGAAGTGTTGGGTGCTCCACCCACACAGTAAGCATGGTGGGGGTTCTAGTGCTGCAGGGGCCTCAGTATACTGAGGGCAATGTCTGAAGTGTTGGGTGCTCCACCCACACAGTAAGCATGGTGGAGGTTCTAGTGCTGCAGGGCCTCAGTATACTGAGGGCAATGTCGGAAGTGTTGGGTGCTCCACCCACACAGTAAGCATGGTGGGGGGTTCTAGTGCTGCAGGGGCCTCAGTATACTGAGGGCAATGTCTGAAGTGTTGGGTGCTCCACCCACACAGTAAGCATGGTGGAGGTTCTAGTGCTGCAGGGGCCTCAATATACTGAGGGCAATGTCTGAAGTGTTGGGTGCTCCACCCACACAGTAAGCATGGTGGGGGTTCTAGTGCTGCAGGGGCCTCAATATACTGAGGGGCAATGTCTGAAGTGTTGGGTGCTCCACCCACACAGTAAGCATGGTGGGGGTTCTAGTGCTGCAGGTGCCTCAGTATACTGAGGGGCAATGTCGGAAGTGTTGGGTGTGCTCCACCCACACAGTAAGCATGGTGGGGGTTCTAGTGCTGCAGGGGCCTCAATATACTGAGGGCAATGTCGAGGAAGTGTTGGGTGCTCCACCCACACAGTAAGCATGGTGGGGGTTCTAGTGCTGCAGGTGCCTCAATATACTGAGGGCAATGTCTGAAGTGTTGGGTGCTCCACCCACACAGTAAGCATGGTAGGGGTTCTAGTGCTGCAGGTGCCTCAATATACTGAGGGCAATGTCGGAAGTGTTGGGTGCTCCACCCACACAGTAAGCATGGTGGGGGTTCTAGTGCTGCAGGTGCCTCAATATACTGAGGGCAATGTCGGAAGTGTTGGGTGCTCCACCCACACAGTAAGCATGGTGGGGGTTCTAGTGCTGCAGGTGCCTCAATATACTGAGGGCAATGTCGAGGAAGTGTTGGGTGCTCCACCCACACAGTAAGCATGGTGGGGGTTCTAGTGCTGCAGGTGCCCTCAATATACTGAGGGCAATGTCGGAAGTGTTGGGTGCTCCACCCACACAGTAAGCATGGTGGGGTTCTAGTGCTGCAGGGGCCTCAATATACTGAGGGCAATGTCTGAAGTGTTGGGTGCTCCACCCACACAGTAAGCATGGTGGGGGTTCTAGTGCTGCAGGTGCCTCAGTATACTGAGGGCAATGTCGGAAGTGTT